ATTAAATAAATGCTTTGTTTGTAATGAGGAGGACATCTTAAGCTATGAAACTTGCAGGATGTTTTAATGGTACAAAGACCTCTTATATGCTAAAAGTTCGAGGCAAATTTGATTTCCAATGTCATGACCCTTTTAATTGTTGTTTTCTGCAATGTTCCTTTGGATTTTGTTATTCCAAAGGCTTCAACCAAATCATGCATTCACTTACTTTCTGTGACCGTGTGCAAGCAAAAGCAGTTTAAGAAAGCTACATTTTGGTCTCTGTTTTTTATGGTTATACAATCTTTATTGTCTGTCTTGTCATTTGTAGAGACAACCAGGATAACAGTGAAGAGACCATGGTGTGAAGAAGAGAGAAGCGCAGTAAACAAACATCTAGCAAGGTTTGTGGCAGAGCGCAGAGTTCCTGGAAAAGCAGACTGCATGAAGTGCCTAGAAGAGGAAAAGGTCCTGAAGGAACGATCTTGGAAGGATGTTAAGAACTTTGTCTACAATACAATTGTTGCTATGAAAAGGAGGTCTGCTTCACGAATGCTTCTGTTTTAAAAGCTACAAATCATGTCCAGTTGTTCTGTTGGCCTTCATGTTTAGACACTTGTTCGTGTTAATTTCTCTGTTAAACCGAGCTGGTCACTGGTTCATCAAATTGCACCAATTAAAGAATTGAACATAAACGTTTAAGTAGACTGTTTTTGAACATCAATCTGAAAATTATTAATCTAATTTAAATTAAATTATTATTATTTTTTTGCATTTCTCAGGCAGCTTTATAGTGATCAACAGAGAAATTCAGCTGATGTTAGTTCAGTTCAGTTCAATAATGACTTAGAGCTGTCAACAAAAAAAAATAAAAAAAATAATGTACTTAAAATAATCCAGTCAGAAACGAACTCGATAGCGCCCCCATGAAAATGTCCTCACTCAGCTGGTAAAACGCTGGTTCTTTTCCTTTGTTTTTTAAATAAGCCAAGGTGAAAATATGAATCACGGAGACACCTAGTGTTAAAATATAATATACATTTACCTGTAGTTGTGGCAGAAATGGTGGTCCTCATTTTGCAGGTTAATTTACTCGGTCCTCACATTGACTGTCATACAGGAATGTGTGTGTGTGAGAGTGAGAGTGTGTGTGTGTGTATGTGTGTGTGTGTGTGTGTGTGTCTGTGTGTGTGTGTGTGTGTTTCTGTCTGTGTGTGTGTTTCTGTCTGTGTGTGTGTTTCTGTCTGTGTGTGTGTTTCTGTCTGTGTGTGTGTTTCTGTCTGTGTGTGTGTTTCTGTCTGTGTGTGTGTTTCTGTCTGTGTGTGTGTTTCTGTCTGTGTGTGTGTTTCTGTCTGTGTGTGTGTTTCTGTCTGTGTGTGTGTTTCTGTCTGTGTGTGTGTTTCTGTCTGTGTGTGTGTTTCTGTCTGTGTGTGTGTTTCTGTCTGTGTGTGTGTTTCTGTCTGTGTGTGTGTTTCTGTCTGTGTGTGTGTTTCTGTCTGTGTGTGTGTTTCTGTCTGTGTGTGTGTTTCTGTCTGTGTGTGTGTTTCTGTCTGTGTGTGTGTTTCTGTCTGTGTGTGTGTTTCTGTCTGTGTGTGTGTTTCTGTCTGTGTGTGTGTTTCTGTCTGTGTGTGTGTTTCTGTCTGTGTGTGTGTTTCTGTCTGTGTGTGTGTTTCTGTCTGTGTGTGTGTTTCTGTCTGTGTGTGTGTTTCTGTCTGTGTGTGTGTTTCTGTCTGTGTGTGTGTTTCTGTCTGTGTGTGTGTTTCTGTCTGTGTGTGTGTTTCTGTCTGTGTGTGTGTTTCTGTCTGTGTGTGTGTTTCTGTCTGTGTGTGTGTTTCTGTCTGTGTGTGTGTTTCTGTCTGTGTGTGTGTTTCTGTCTGTGTGTGTGTTTCTGTCTGTGTGTGTGTTTCTGTCTGTGTGTGTGTTTCTGTCTGTGTGTGTGTTTCTGTCTGTGTGTGTGTTTCTGTCTGTGTGTGTGTTTCTGTCTGTGTGTGTGTTTCTGTCTGTGTGTGTGTTTCTGTCTGTGTGTGTGTTTCTGTCTGTGTGTGTGTTTCTGTCTGTGTGTGTGTTTCTGTCTGTGTGTGTGTTTCTGTCTGTGTGTGTGTTTCTGTCTGTGTGTGTGTTTCTGTCTGTGTGTGTGTTTCTGTCTGTGTGTGTGTTTCTGTCTGTGTGTGTGTTTCTGTCTGTGTGTGTGTTTCTGTCTGTGTGTGTGTTTCTGTCTGTGTGTGTGTTTCTGTCTGTGTGTGTGTTTCTGTCTGTGTGTGTGTTTCTGTCTGTGTGTGTGTTTCTGTCTGTGTGTGTGTTTCTGTCTGTGTGTGTGTTTCTGTCTGTGTGTGTGTTTCTGTCTGTGTGTGTGTTTCTGTCTGTGTGTGTGTTTCTGTCTGTGTGTGTGTTTCTGTCTGTGTGTGTGTTTCTGTCTGTGTGTGTGTTTCTGTCTGTGTGTGTGTTTCTGTCTGTGTGTGTGTTTCTGTCTGTGTGTGTGTTTCTGTCTGTGTGTGTGTTTCTGTCTGTGTGTGTGTTTCTGTCTGTGTGTGTGTTTCTGTCTGTGTGTGTGTTTCTGTCTGTGTGTGTGTTTCTGTCTGTGTGTGTGTTTCTGTCTGTGTGTGTGTTTCTGTCTGTGTGTGTGTTTCTGTCTGTGTGTGTGTTTCTGTCTGTGTGTGTGTTTCTGTCTGTGTGTGTGTTTCTGTCTGTGTGTGTGTTTCTGTCTGTGTGTGTGTTTCTGTCTGTGTGTGTGTTTCTGTCTGTGTGTGTGTTTCTGTCTGTGTGTGTGTTTCTGTCTGTGTGTGTGTTTCTGTCTGTGTGTGTGTTTCTGTCTGTGTGTGTGTTTCTGTCTGTGTGTGTGTTTCTGTCTGTGTGTGTGTGTCTGTGTCTGTTTGAGCTCAGTAATGTCAGTACAGTATCTGAACTCAGGTGTGTGTGTCTGTGTTTGTGTGTGTGTGTGTGTTTGAGCTCAGTAATGGCAGTACAGTATCTGAACTCAGGTGTGTGTGTGTGTGTGTGTGTGTGTGGGTGTGTTTGATCTCCGGGATTTCTGTATAGTATCTCAACACA